GGGATGTGCCCGGGATGCCGATGCGGTGCCCGGGAGGCCGATGCGGTGCCCGGGATGTGCCCGGGATGCCGATGCGGTGCCCGGGATGTGCCCGGGATGCCGATGCGGTGCCCGGGATGCCGATGCGGTGCCCGGGATGTGGATGCGGTGCCCCGGGAGCAGCCGCGGCTCCCGGCGGGCGGGCACAGGAGGGCAGCAGAGCTCCGCAGAGCTCCCCGCCGCCGGGCACGGCTCCCGGGACCCGCAGCCACGGGACGGAGGCCGGAACAAATTCGGGAATAACAGCCCAGTCCTTTGAGACGAAAGCACAGAGGTGCGGGGCTGGGCTGAACTTTGAGGGGACGAGTGAAAACCCCAGTATTTGGGTTATATACCCAAGTACTTTTCCAAGCGTTTGCTTCGTGGCCAGCAAGAGGAGGGATGTAAAAACACCCCTCACCCTGCTGTGACTTGTTGCAGCCTCTTGTCCCACCACCGTCCTCAGCAGCCTGAAGAACTCGAGCAGATGCAGTGTCTGAGTGGGATTCTCCATCTGACAGGTGGAGCCAGTTGAAATCTGGCCGGTAAAAGTGTAAATCCCAGTGTCTTTTCCTGGATCCCTGAGAGGCTGTAAGGATGCTAAGCACCTGGAGCCATGCAGGCTCTGTTGAAGGAGCTGTCACGGTGTGAGGTCCTTTCCTTGCAGGTATTTTAATCTCTACAGACAGGGGAGTGCTCTCCTTAAAAGGATGATTGGTGTGTCCTCAGGGCTTTCTCCGTACAGGTAGGGGCAAAACTGCACACTGGACTGTTACCTTAGGAGACCCACAACGTGCAACACAAACCGGATGAGTAAAAGCTTGATTTTGGTTACTGAAGAATTAACCCTAATTCCCTTATGGGCCAGTTTCGTCTGAGCTGCCTTAACTAGGAGTCACTCCTCTGTATTTCTTGGGCCAGGGAGGTTTGGTGAGCGCAGTTCTCTTCTAATGACCTGCGAGGAAAGATCTCCTTTCTATATTGTGTGTCCTGTGGCATTTTGTGTTCCAGAGCAGAAACCCTCAGTGTTCATCTCTCATTTAGGTGGGGTAAAAAAATCAAAAGTTGTTTTGCAAGGTGGATGCCATTTACAGCCTTGCCTTTGTCTTGGGTCATTAGCAGTAAGCTGGTGATAAGCTCCTATTAATTAGGGATTGTCAGCACGTGCAAATTGGAACAAGAACACACCAAATGTGACAGCTCGGTCCCGCTGAGGGAGCTGGCACTTAGAGCCTTCTGAGCTGGTGATAAACTATTCTTTGAGGATCTGCCCCTTGAAGTCGTCAAAATTTCCTTGAGAGCATCTTGCTGGGGTTTGGTGTAAGTAGCCCTTCACAATTAGATTGCTTATCCTGATGAAGCTTTGGCAGCTGCTCTCTTTATCACCTGCAAGTTTGGTGATGAGCACAATGGCTCCAAAGGCCTTGGTTCAGCTATTTATTGGACATGTGGTGAGAGTGTGGATTGCCTCCTTGTCCCTCTCCCTGTGTGCAGACACTGGGCACTCCTGGGGCTTGGCCTCCTGCAGTGCCCTGGCTGTGCTCACACTCACACTGAGGCTCAATCCGTGCCAAGAATACCGAGCTGGAGACCTGATCCAGCCGCTCAGCTCAGCTGCTGAGCTGCCTAGGGCATGCTCACCAAGCAGGGCAGTCTCTGGAAAACCTGCTAATGGAAAGTCTTTTCCTTTATTATGATCTACATGGGAGTTTTACTTCTTCCATCGCCGTGCTTCTGCAGGCAGTGGAAAAGATCCTGCCTTGATGTTGCAGTGTAAAAATGAGTTTCCATCACTTTGCCTACAAATAATTTTCAGCTGTAAACTAAAATAAGTTCACTGAAGAGGAGCCCGTAAAGACTGCATGTCCCAATTAAATGAAGCCATTCCAGAGCGATAACTGGCTTAACCAGAGTGCTCCTTTTGCACAGACCCAGCCTCGTTACTTGTTCTTAATGAACAATTGGCAAACGCCAATGTGGCTGTATTTTCAGCAAGTGAAGAACCCTCCTGCTGCTTGAGGGTTTCCTCCAGGTTAGAATGGAAGGATAAGTGATGGGGAACAAGGATGAGCAATCCCTGCCTCTGGAGTAGCTATCCAGAACGGGATGGAGCCCTTGCTCTTGATCCCAGCAGATTCTGTGCACCTCCACAGAGCACACGGTGGTTTGTGTGCTCCTGGTGATGCCTGGAGAGGGCTGGCCTGGAACAGAGGCTGGACAGGGTTCAGAATAAAGCAGGGATTTATTGAAAGGCCTTAAAGGACACACCTGGGGCAGTGCAGGAGCCTGGCCAGGGCTACACCCAAGAAGGACCAAAAATGGTCACAAAATGGATGATTGCTCACCAGGGCTCACATTTTTAGAAGTTTTGGTCCATCTGCATATTGGGATTCATTGTCCAGTCCCAGCTCCAGGTTATGGAATCCCACCCTTGTTTTCTCCCTTCAGCCCAATGCTGTTCCTGCTTTTGGGCCTGAACCCTGTAAAGACTGTCCTTGGTATGGAGCTGGAAAAGGAATTGTTTTGTCTGTGAAGAGAGCTCACTGACACTGAACACGAAGCTCAAAACTCCACACCTGGGCAGCGCAGAATACGAAAAACAGAAAAGCTGAAACATAAGGCGCTGAAAATGCGATTTGATTTGCTTGCATTTAATTGACCTCCATATTCTGAATTAACCCGGTGTCCCCCCTGTGTCCCCCAGGCAGCCGGGAGACGGCGTTCACGTACGCGGTGAGCGCGGCGGGGGTGGTGAACGCCATCAGCCGCGCGTGTCGCGAGGGAGAACTGTCCAGCTGTGGCTGCAGCCGCACCGCCCGGCCCAAGGACCTGCCCCGGGACTGGCTGTGGGGAGGCTGCGGGGACAACGTGGAGTACGGATACCGCTTCGCCAAGGAGTTTGTGGATGCCAAGGAGAGGGAGAAGAACTACGTCCGAGGATCGGAGGAGCAGGCGCGCATGCTGATGAACCTGCAGAACAACGAGGCTGGCCGCAGGGTAAGAGCAGTGCTGGCCCCTTCCTCTTCCTCTTCCTCTTCCTCTTCCTCTTCCTCTTCCTCTTCCTCTTCCTCTTCCTCTTCCCCTTCCCCTTCCCCTTCCCCTTCCCCTTCCTCTTTCCTCTTTCCTCTTTCCTCTTTCTCTTTCCTCTTTCTCTTTCCTCTCCCTCTTCCTCTTCCTCTTCCGGAGGGTCTGAAGGCTGGGGGTGGCTGGAGATCAGATTCCCGGGGGGTTTGCTGGGGGACAATCCAGCCATGCCCCAGGAAAAGCGTACAGACACGTTTTCTGTGAATATTGCAGACAATATTGACAGTATTCCAGGGTCAGGCTTCCATTGCCAGCTAAAGCCAGTGAATTTTGGCGTCTGTTGAGATACTGTACAACACACATATGCAGACAGTTCAGCCCTTTCCAAATAAACTAGGTGCTGTTACAGCCCATTTTTAAGGTTTATGTCTAAGAAATCAGTTTCCAGAGCTGTGAGAGTGACAGGCTGGCGGTGAAAAGAAGAACTTCTGGCATGTAGAGTTGTCTTCTGCCACCATCATTTAGATTTTTGGGAATATAAGGCCAGGAGCTTGGCTATCTCTGAAACTCAGGCCTTGCTCAGTTACCTTGGTACTGGGCACAATAAATAGCTCACATTTAGGTGACAAACATTATCTGAGAAGATTCACAGTTTTGATCTGGGGATCCCTAGGGATGGAGAATCCATCACTTCCCTTTGTAGTATGATGCCAGCATTAATCACTCTTTCAGCTCTGAGCCTAATGATCATTTGAATTTATCTGGCACCAGCTTCCAGTCACTTCTTTTTCTGACTTGTACAGCTTAAATCCAAAACCCTCTTAGTAATCAGAATTTCCTTGGCATACAAGTATTTATCTACTGTCATTTATTCACCATTCTTTCTTGACAAACTAGATTGAGCACTGAAGACTCTCTCACTTGCAGAGGTTCTCATCAGCCATCAAATCATTTTCCTGTCACTTTAGTGTACCCTTTCCAATTTTCCCACATCCCTTTTGTATGCATTCAGTGTATGCACTTTTGCTTTTCACACAATTCCTGTGTCTGTGATTAATAGCCTGGAAGGTGTAGCATCATTCATATGCAGTGCAGCTGTGTAATCCTGCCTCTTTCCAAAAGTAGAACAGGAATACTAACCTGAACATTGGTGATTTTCCCCAGGGTGTTTTAAATTTTTATCATTCTTCCCTAGAAGTAAGCTTTTCAAAGGTTAATTTTATTTCTAATTCATGTTAAAAAAAATCCCATTAAGTGTACTTAGTCTTGCTCTTCTGCACATTCCTAGCTGATATCCTTAGTTTCCTTATCGATTTTCTGCCCTTTCTTCTAATTGTTACTGAATTATCTTTCCCTTTCCTTTGGATGTCTGTCTTTGCTGCATGTAATTTCAGCTTCATTTTGACAACAAAGATGATTTGTTCAATATTTTTTTTTGGTTGTGAAATCAGTGTGTCAGGTTGAAGCATTGCAAGTACTTCATGCTTCCTTTGCAAAATCAAATTGGGGTAAATTTGCAGTAGGTGAAAAACTGGACTTGAAAGCTGAGTTTTGGTTTGGGATTGGGGTTTTTTTTTTGGCTTGGATGGGCAGAGGCTCTGCATTTGCTTAGAGATGGGGGCTGTGTGGGGTGGAGTGTGACATTCTTTTCTGCATTTCTTGCTTTGGACATCCTACATATCTGGAGCATGAACTTGGATTTCTACAAATAAATCCCCTGCCTAAAGCAAGGAGTGAGCATGAGATCCCAGCAGCCTTGAGGGGTCCAGAGACAGAGTCTGGCCCCTAGTCTGAGGTGCCAGGTGAACTGCACAGATTAAATGAGCACAAATCATTTTAGATTAGATTAAATTAAATAGAAGTATAAACCAGTGTGTAATTAAGATTGTGGATTTAAAAAGAAAATAAAATACAAACAACCAAAAAAACAAACTCTGATAAACTAAGGGAGCTGATTAATAAGCTCAGCCTAGGAAATGGATGTGGAGGAGGTCTGGAACTTTTTCAAGTCAAAGATGCTAAAGCCATTACAACTCTGCATGCCAACAAGAGAAAAAAGGTTGTAGGAAGAATATCCAGACCTCACTGAATGAATAACTGCCACAGAGAAGCTGTTAGGAATAGACCAAGAGCCTACCAAGAATGAAGGGAAAAGATAGCAAATAAATACAAAAAGCTCTCTCTTAGAGGTCAAGAAGTGGAAAGAGGAGGTGAGAACAGGAAAAATCATGCTGAGTCAGACCTTGCAAAGGTTAATAAAATAAACAGCAAAAGTTTTTTAAACTTTGCAAATCAGAGAAGAAAGGAGACAGCCAGTGAGGATGGGGCTGAATCTAAAGGCAGAGAAGTTTTGGTACCCAATGTGCGTGAGTGCTTTGCCTGGGGCTTCGAGTTGGAGTGGGGAGCATTGGATATCTCAGGGGAAAATAGGAAATAATTTGAGAAGACTTTTTTTCCAAAGGTTGATCCCTCAGTCATTTAGAACATCACTGACTTTCTAAAAGCAGACTAGATCTGGTAGGCCTCATTGATGTGAACTTGTGTGAAACATCTGAGGTATTTCCCCCCTGGGAAGTTCTTGGTTAAACTGGGAAATATAATGAAAGTTGCAGTAGCTGTGAGATGGACAAGAAACTGGTTTGAGGAAAGACGTCAGTAAGTTGTGTGAAAGAATGGAGCTTGATTTTAATGGAGCTTAATTAGCAGAGCTCATCAAGGACTTGCCCTTAGGATTTTTGTTTCTCAGCTTCAACACAGGCACTAGAAATGGGCTGATGAACTTTGCTGTTGATGCAAAGGTGGCAGATATTATGACTACAGAGAGGAGGATGTGAATTTTGTACAGCAGCTGGTGACACTCAGTGAAACAACACTGAGGCCTCGTATGAGACACATCTTTAGTCATCAGGACAAGAGTAGGAAAGAAATGGTCACAGCAGTCAGCTGAAAATGGCTGCAGATGCAATGTGGCTTGGAAGGTGGTAAATATCCTGTAACACAGCAGACATAAGGCTTTTCATACAACATGGGGGAATACTAATGCCATTGTGTTGGGCTCTCGTGAGGCCCCAAAGTATTGTGTGTTCTCGTATTCCCAAGTAAAATGACCTCAGACTAGAAAAGGCTTGTTAGGACTGACCCAAGGGATAGGAATCTTTTCTTAAGAAAGTGTGCTAGAGCAGCTTGCCATATTTAGCCTAGTAAAGTGAAAGTGGAGAGAGGATATGACTGATGTCTGTGTTCGTGGGAGAAATAACAGGGAAGGAAAAGTACTTTGTAAGCAAAAGGCCAATTTGGCACAGTAGCAAATGGGTATAAAGTAAATACATACAGGCTGAGAATCAGAAGAAGATATTTATTGTTGGAATGGCAATCAGAATAATGGTGGCTGAAAACTTAATTGCTTTTAGAAGGGCATCCTATGCATTTAGGGAAAATGTTACTTGAAGCAGTGCCTACAATAGCAGGAGATCATGCTTAATAACCCAGGAGGTCCTGTCTAGTCCTGCATTCCTAAACTTCTGAGATACTGGTTTTGTAAGCAGGAAGGTGCATATGTAACCCCTCATTCCCACAAGTTTATGCTGGAAGAAAGGACTGCTGGAGACCCAGCAGTGAGCACCAGCTGCCATCCCACTGCAGCCTCGCCCTGCTTTCACAGCCAGGGTTTCAGCTGATGCCTTCTGATTTACAGGCAGATTTTTGGCATGTCCCTTCACTCAGTTTCCTATGAGTGAGAAAGCTATTGAATCCTGAGGAGCTCTGGTGGCAGGAGAGGGGATTGTCCCTTCTCTCTGTGGTTCTCAGAAGGAGCTGGGGGGGGACAGGAGGGAATCAGAGGTCTTTTATCTTTCAGGCAGTCCTGACCCCATCACCCCTTCACTCCACATCGCAGTCCTTGGGCTGGTGGCTTCTGGCTTTATTGCTCGTTTGTTTGTCTTTGGCTGTTATCTCAACATGTCCTTTCCTTCCATCTGTCTTTTCTTCCAGTTGGTCTCCATTAGCCTCTCCTACTGCCCCCCTTCCTTATCTGTGGCTCTGTCTGGCTGTGGCAGTCTGTCCTTCCAGGCTGTTTACGCAGTCAGCACCTGGCAGCCCTCACTCAGCAGGCACTCCAGCCACTGCCACGAGAGCCTGGGGAAGGGGGTCTGCCTGATTGACCACGTAGGAATGACCCATTTGTTCTCCTCCTGTTCCCATTCCTGCACAAAAAGAATTGGAAGAGACCTTGGGCTTATGGAGGGGGCTTTTCCATTAGAGGCATTTTCAACCTGTTTAGGTGGCGTGGCCATCCATCACACCCTGCCCTCAGAGCTGCATGTGGGGTCTGTTATTCTTTACCTTGACCCTAGCCTGGCTGGGGAGGAATTCTCCAATTTCCCCTGCTTTCTCCTCATCTGGGCAGTGGAGGGGGAGAGTGGGAGAGTCATTTAGAAGCTGTGGCTGGCTCCACAGGACACGGGTGGTGGGAGCTGTGGGGGCTCAGTGGCACCGTGTGCTCACCTGTGATCACTGGCAGCGCTCACCTTCCCCACAGCAGCTACTGCCCACGTGGGCCAGATGTTTTGAGCATCAGTTGCCTCAAGCCAAGTCAGAGTGAACTCATTCCCCTGACATTAACTGAGGGGGATTGGGTTGCAGTGTTTTTCTAAAGGAACAAAGCCCAGGATTAGGCAGAATCATAATACTTTATAAAAACACATGCAAGGGCAAGGGAGGCATGAGTGGCCTGGGATTTGACAGAACCATAACGAAAAAGTGCTAACACAGGCTTATAACAAGCAGGCTGGCAGTGCAGTGAGGATATAGTGAGTGTCTGGTGCTCAGGAAATTCAGCTGTAGCCTGTCTGGTCACAGTAGAGCAGGAATCCTTAAGTAATGGTGTGGTTGGTCCTCTGCAGTTGTAGTTTGATCCAAGACTCCCAGCTTGTAGCTGTTACATTGCACCGTGAGGGATTGCCTTGGTAAATTGAGCTCTGAGGAGCAGAACTAAAGCTTTTCTGTTTCAAGGACTCACTCCATTGACTTTCTCAGGAGCTGTATTTGCCTCCATGTGATTTAGCCATTAAGCCAAATTGAATCTTCACTAGCTGTCAAAAGCAGTAGACATTTAGCTGGGCAAGGAGCAACCAGTTGCTGTAGGAGAACTCTGACTTCTCCCTGCTGGTCCAGGACGTTGTTGTAGGCAGAAGGTTTTGCTTGCAGTATGCTCAATTGCCTTAATCACCTTGGCACGTGAAAGCAGGGAGCTGGGAAGCTTCCTTCTGTGTCAGTGAGTGAGGCAAAAAAGAAACCTCTGTGTTTGGCTGCTTTTTTCCAGCAGAAAAACCTGGCTGGAAGACACATCGCCATCTCTTTCAGAGCGCCCTGTTTTGTTCTCGTGTTCCTCCCTCTCCCCCACCAGATACAGCTGGTGGTAATTTTGCAGCTGATGCCAAACATCTCTGCTTGGCATGTGGGATCTGGCAAAAGCACTGCAGGATGCAGGATGGTCTTGGGAGAGCAGATGTGAGCCTGATGGTGAGAGGATGAGGAGCCAAGGGCTGGGGGATCAAGCTGCTGTAGCACAGAGTAGCTCTGACAGGGAGGGGATCTTTGCAAGCTCTGTCAGCTCCCAAAGCATTGCACTTCTGTACCTGGCTCTGAAATGAATGGGAAGAACAAACCCAACCTGCATTTCAGTTTCCTTTCCTTGTTTTTTTTTTTTGGATTTCTCAGTATTTCTCTCGCCTCCCAGCTAGAGTGGGGAGGAGGAGAGTAAACACCCTTTCCCTTCACATGCTGCGCTCGCTCTGATGAGCGCTTTACACTCTGAATTTTCAAGGCTCTTTGCTAACTTTGATGCTGGATTTTCAGGGGGTATGATGCATCTGCAGGCTCCTGAAAACGTAGCTGGAAGTGTCTGGGGAGAGCCAGGGCAGGAAGCTTGGGTGTGCTGTGGAAATCGTGGCTGTTGTGCCCTGCTGGTGGAGGGAGCCGGGCAGGAGATGGTGCAGGAAGGCAGCGAGGGCTCCTGGCTCTCTCCAGCTGCCTTCCAGGGAAATGTGTCCGTCTGTCCAGCACCACCCCTGCCTGCCCCTCTCTGGACACCCCCAGACGAGCTGCTCTCGGGGGGGATGGAGGGGAAGGGTGTGGGTCCATGGGCTTGTTTCCAAAGGATGCAGATGTATCCCTGCGACGGTAGCGTCGGTTCCTGGTGCGGGCGGTAGGAAATGGGCTGGTTCCCAGGTGTTCTGCAGCACTGAACGGGAAAAACACGCCACACCCTGGTGGTCTGTGAGCTGGGGAATTTCCAGAGTCCACGCAAAGAGGGCTCCTTCTCTTTTTCTCCTGCTCTTGGCCCTGCTGTCAAGCCAGAAATCTGCCAGAGGGAAGGAAGGTGGGGTGAGGAAGTCGTGTTTGCAGGCAGCGTGACCAGAAATAGAAATATTTAGGGAACAGCAGCACAGCAGTCGCAACAGGGGGAGGAGAAGACCTTTGTCTCCTCTGAAGGGCGAAACAACAGAAATTGCGGGATAATCAAAGCGGTTCTGGAGGCGCGATGAATTGGCTGTAATTAAGCCAGCTGCCAGTGCAGCGGGAACAAACGCAGCTCCTCCTCCTGATGGTGTTCCTTTCCCCCACAGGCCGTGTACAAGCTGGCAGACGTGGCCTGCAAGTGCCACGGCGTGTCGGGCTCGTGCAGCCTCAAGACCTGCTGGCTGCAGCTGGCCGACTTCCGCAAGGTGGGCGACCTGCTGAAGGAGAAGTACGACAGCGCCGCGGCCATGAGGATCAGCCGCAAGGGCAAGCTGGAGCTGGTCAACAACCGCTTCAACATGCCCACCCAGGAGGACCTGGTCTACGTGGACCCCAGCCCGGACTATTGCCTCCGCAACGAGACCACGGGCTCGCTGGGCACGCAGGGCCGGCTGTGCAACAAGACCTCGGAGGGCATGGATGGCTGCGAGCTGATGTGCTGCGGACGGGGCTACGACCAGTTCAAGAGCGTGCAGGTGGAGCGCTGCCACTGCAAGTTCCACTGGTGCTGTTATGTCAAGTGTAAAAAGTGCACAGAGATCGTCGACCAGTACGTCTGTAAATGAAAGGAGCCGCCAAAGCAACAAATCTATATTATATAAATCTATATAAATATATTTTATATTTGTATAAATAAACAGATGGTGATAATAATTAAAAGAAGCTTATTTAAGAGACATTTTGGTTTTGAAATTTCCCCCCCACCTCGTCAGGTCAGCTAATTTGACATTCCTTCAGTTCTGCTGGGGAATTTGTCTTTGGGTGGAGCTCCCCTTGGGGCAATGGGCAATACCCCATTGGCATCTGCCCCGGGATGTTTCAGTCAGGGTGAAGAAGCTGAGGAGGTGCTATTTCATTACACAAAGAAAGCCAGTGAGAAGGAGTAGGTTCTTTCTTCTCTCTGATCAGTAAATCTCAGCATTTTGCAACAGTTACTGCACACTGGAAATTACAGGCAGCCATGGCTGAGTCCCAGTTATTCAGATTTCAAATCCTGCAGTGGGAAATTCAGAACTGATTCTTGGTCCCTCTGAAGGGCTTTGTCACATTAGAGGGAAGGTTAGCTAAGGCTACGAGGGTACGGCTTAAAATCCACAGCCTTGTAAAACCATTCCTGGATGCTCCCCAGACCACAGTGGGGTAGAGGAAAGTTCACAGCTTGCTGTTGTGAGGAAGGAAGGTTCAACCTGTGGCTGACCAGTGCACAGCCTAGGAGTGCCCATGAAGCCAGAACCTGGCTCCTCTGTGCCACCGAGGGAAATCTGCCCAGCTCAAACCACGTGGCTGTGTGTGCAAGGGATTTTTGTTTTCCTTTTCCTTCAAATCCCATGCTGAAAGTTAATTTTTCAATAGAGAGGAAAAGCTGCCGGTGCCAGGGATGTTTGCAGAGTGTATTTTGTCAGTGGAAAGAAGCACTGCACACACACACACACATGCACATGGCTGCGCTCCTCATCCTGCTGCAGCTTCTCCTCTCTCAAGTGGATGCAGGTGGTCACCTTGTTCAGCTCTATTAAATCCTCCTCACCACCAACCCAGTTGTATATTTCTCTTCAACACTGAGCTCCCCTCAATGACATTTCTTTCCCTCTGTTGCTTGTGTGTACGTGTGTTTTGGTTTGTTCTTTTGGTGAGATTCTTTTATTTTGCTGCTCTGTGTTTCAGAGGGCAGGGGCCGTGCTCTTCCCCGGCAGGAGCCAACCACAGGAACGTTTGCTCCCAGAGCGTGGCTGTGGAAGTCTCTGTGTTTTAACTTGGTAATAAAAGGACTGTAATAAAACTGTACCAGGGCAGAAGGCATTACCAAAGTCTGCTAATCAGTCTTACCACATTGGGATTTTAGCACAATCCAATTCATAAAGCAGGGAGCAAATGCTGTTCCTAGCACAAGACGTTTCCTGTACCTCTCAGCATCTGCAGAGTTCATTTGCAGTCAGAACAATCAAGAGAAGCCAGTTCCCAAAATATAAGGGTTTGCTAATATACATCTGCTTTGTCACTGACATTGCAGGGGTGTTGGGTTTTTTTTTTTTTCCTTGTAAATTTTAAAATGCCCAAAATATGCCAATAAGCAACGAGCCAGTCATGAAGATTATTGTTTTTATATTAAACCTCTGTTTCTTGTAAAACATTGCAGTTTTACAGATTCCACCATTTCAACCACCAGAGAAGAATTTATATGTACCTTTCATACTTCAAATATTTGAGGACTCCAGAAAAGCACAAGGAAGAGAAATTATGCTTAATAATTAGGAGCTGTTGCTTTTTTTAAACCAATGTGTCCAGTTTTTATTTTATTTTTTTTAATCCAACAGGCAATATATTTGCTGGCATCCCAGAATGCAGTTTTTTTTGGAATATAAACAGTGGCCTAGATTCACTTTATTATATAAAATCCAAAGCCAGTGGTATTGTAATTCAAAGTAACGGAAATAGTTTTCCATGCATGGAAAAAATGTGAGTGCAGCAGCCTGATCCAACTGCCATTAAACTTCAGTGGGAGCTGGACTGAGCCCAAGATGGGATCAAATGAGTGAGCTATTCACTCCTGGGATACTCTGTTTCTAGCCCAGCAATAAAATTTGCTCTACCTTGGATAAATCTGAAAAAGACCTTTCCTCCCACCACCCTCACCTCGTGTTGTTGTCCATCCTTATTGCATCAGTGCTCGAAGGTGTCAGCCCTTTGTAAATGGCACCCTCAGGCATTGTTAATGTGTCTCATAGTTCAGAATTACTTCATCTGGCCTTTCTGATAAAGACCACACAACTCTCCTTGAGGTTTGGCACCACACTTCATTTTGTGGGTGTAAACAACCCTGGGAGCGGAAAAGTTGGCATTGTTAGGGCTGCTATTCATCTGGGTGTCCCTGGATATGTCCTTCTTTTTCCACCTAAAATGTTGTCTGGATGGAAAAATAGATGTTTTTTGGCCTTTTGTCCCAGCATTCCAGACCTCTGGCAGCCTGGTTGGAGCCAGCAGTTCCTATTGGACTGGGAGCATATAGCCATAGGAAAAAAGTGACCATTAGATTTCTTTCCTCCCCCCTTTTTTATTCCCACAAGTCCCAGGTTTCAGTATTTTAGAATTTTCTGGGAATTTTGTATCCAAAAATTTGATCTCACTAAACTCTAGCTTCAAACTTAATTTCAATGGCACTCCCACATAAAAGAACCTCTATAGGGTGGTAATAATTATAAAATAAGAACACAGCCAGATTGGCTTGATGCAAATCTAAAGGAACTCAAACAGAAAGCTGCAGCAGAACTGCTTCTTTCCCATGGAAGTTAAAAAGTTCAACAGATTTTAAGTTGTGCTTTGTTTGATGCACAAAGTGATAGAAAGGGGTGTGGGGCTGGGAGCTAATCTCAATTCTGAGCTCTGTTGATAATCTGCTGCATAATTTTAAAATAGTTTCTTTACATTTTAACCTCCAGCCTTCTTCTGTATTAAATACAGAATATTTTCTGTACACCTCCTTTTTCTGTCAAGATCTCTGAGAAATATGGCTGAAAAGAAGTTTAATTGAAGGCCTAGGTTCTCTGCTCATGCACTCTGGCAGGCAGACAGCTGTATCCACATGGTGTGGGGACACCCAGTTCTGCACAGGGAGGCTCAGCAGCACCTTGCAGGGTTGGAGGTGGTTCCTGAGGGGCTCAGCAGGAGCCTGGGAGGGTCTGCAGCAGCAAATCCTTACTCTGGCACAATGCTGGAGGAAGGGCTGTGCTACAAAAGAGAGGTCAGCTCAGGGCTTGTTTATTTAAGGGTATTGAAGATCTTGTAGCTGAAGTAAGGCTTAGGGAGGTCAGCCTGGTTTCTGCCTGCTCAGATTCTGTTTGCAGTTTCCTAGGGATAAGATCCTCACTGTTACATTCTGTGGGCTGGTAACTGGCTGCCACATTCCAACCCTCAAGTCCCTGCACTTCAAGGCTGAAATGGCCACCCTTAAGTCATGTAAAACTAAAATATTTTGGGCTTAAAGGCACTATGCAAATATGCTGTTACTGCAAGTCAGTGAACATGGGCTCTTAAATGGAGCAGAACAGGATGCAAATCTGTCATCATTTTCCAGCTGGCAACTACTGCCTAAGTTACAGTGGGAATGAATGAGGCCTCAGTGTGCTCTGCTGCAAGGTAAGCTGAGCAGTACCTGATCCCAGAAACTTTCAGTTGATATTAATCATGCTAAGAAGAAGGTGGCAGGGTTGTGAGAGAATTTAAATGAACCTTTTAACACTGCTGAACTTCAGGCCACTTGATTCATTTGGAGGCTGCCACTCTTTGTCCCCCAAAAATCTGTGCCTGCTCAGAGCTCAGTGTAGCAGAGCAGGTGCTGCTTCTTGCAGTTCAGGGAACAGCCAGACATGCAGCATTGCTGTAACTTACATTTTCTATATGGACCAAAGCTTGTTCCCTGTGGATCCCAACAAAGCACAAACGAAGCAGATCTTGTTCAGTCATATGAAATCAAACATGCAGGAGTCTCCCTCTGCTCACTTGAGCCCAGCCAGGGAGAAGCCTAGGAGGTTTAAATTACACTGTGGGAGCAATTCCTCATCACCTGTGGTTACAGAAATATAGACAGTATTTTCATCTGCTGACACAGCCACGGAACATCCCAAGGAGACCTTGGGAAATACCTTCCAGTGACTACAGGACATTTCTCAAGTGGCTGTCACAAGGCTTTTCCAGAATCAGCTGCTTATATGGTCATTAACTTTCATTTAGCTTTTGTTTAACTGCATTTAAGGTTAAGGAGTTTCTAGCAGACACTCTGTGAAGTCAAGTTCGCTGAAGGGCAGGATGTGAAGGAACACATAGGACAGGCACACAGCAGATGTGAAGGTAATATCAGATCCCCTTCTTCTCACAGGCAGTTTGGCCATGTCTAATCCCTGGGACACAGAGATGCATCCCATCTCCTTGGTGCAGGTGTGTATCCTGGCCAGATTCTGTCCCCCTGGCACCAGCACCCTGTGTGCAAAGGTTTGTGGATGCACAGACTGGTGAGTGCCTGTCCCATCTCCAGGCTTTGGGACTGGGCCACCTCCTGAGCATACCAGCTCTGAAGTCTAAATATAACCAGCTCAAAGATAAGCAAAGGTTAGATTTCTGTGCCCAACAGAAGGCTTCAGAAGGGAGCTGCTCAGGTATGTTTGCCAACAGAGATGAAGCAGTTTAAAGGCTTGCAGCAGTAACACACATCCTGGGGTAAAAAGAAGAAAAAAAAAAGGTCCAGGCTCTCCCTTACCCTAAGGCAGTTTTATTCTGAGTCATCATTTGTCTTGTGGCTCTTCCTAGAGTGCCATATCACTGTGTCAGCCCTTCACAAGGCTCCCAAAACATGGACATTATGTGGGATGGGCAGGATGGGGCATTACCATGCAAGGGAAAACACTGCCTTTAAGGGGAAAAAACAAAAAGACGTGGGGTGGACCCAGCGTTGGAGCTAATTGTAACCCTGTCTTGTCCACAGCCTCGAGGAACAGCACAAGTATTTAACATCTTCTTGGCCTGAGCAAACATCTGGACCAGTTTTTAAGAGTGGCAGCAATTCCCTGTGATGATTGTGGCCAGTCTCACTTTCGTTTGCCACAGGCAGATTTGTTTTCTCCTGCTCAGGAACAACAGAGTTAACCAGTAATGACCTGCCAGCTTCCACAAACCACAGGGCTGTGTATATAGGACAAACACATTCTGAAGGAATTAAGGCAGTGGACATTTTATTACTGCTACATTTTCTAGGAATCATCTGCAAATGCCCAGGCAGTACATAACTCTGTTTCTGAAAATGTGTTTTGCTGTATTGCAGGGCACAGCTTTGCTTTTTGATTTCCAGGCTCTTAAACCAGAATAAACGACCCAAATTCCTTTTATTTAATATTTATTGAATCAGTATTCCTATCTCATTTTCCCTCTTAATTGGCTGCATACACATTAAGTTATGGTGACAGGAAATGACAGACGAAAATGACATGCGGTTTTTACATATATTTTTCGTCAGTGAAGCTCAAAATATTTTTAAATCATTAGCGCCATTTTACAGATGAAATCCTGAAAGACAGGGCAGGAAATACTTCATCTGACAGGCACGGGGTGGAGCTGGAGCAGCCACTGCAGCTGCTGCTCCCTGTGCTGCTGCCAAAATACATTTTGAATGATGAGAGAAACCATAAGTACGTGTAAGAGTGCAACTGTAATGTTCAGTAACAAAAACTTTAATGAATGTGTGAGGTGGGACATATTTTAAAGGAGACAATAGGGGATCATAGTTTTATAAACAGAGTTTTAAGGAGTGGGCAGGATATATTTATTGTTTGCAGGTATTAGGGATCAAAACAACTCAAATATTAATTTATAGGGATAATTTTGCTTGCATTAACTGCCTCATTCACACTCACTGGCTTGAGCTGAAATTTCTGGGTGTGGGGACAAGTGTATTGATTGGAGTGTGGCTCAGCAAAGCACTAAAGTTTAGAGCCACACAAATTACAGACAGGCTCTCCAAATGGTCCAGTTACTCTCCCTGGCAATTGCTAAGCTTATCCTCCAACAGAGTAGTGTTCCCTTCGTGTTTTGGCTGGTCTCACTGTAAAACATGCAGGTGTAGGGTTTCCACCGTTTTCCCCAAGGACACTATTTTGGGAGGCGAAATCTCCACGTCACATAGGTTTTCCTGCTGCTCAGCCAACACTTCCCATTCCTTAACAGGGCAAGTTCTTGTTCTCTGTGGTGCCCCTGCTCTGTGCCTCTACACCAGACACAGGAATTTGGGCCCTGTCACCTGAGCCAGGCTACCCAGGTGCCTCCTGCAGCATCAGGGAACACTGGTTTTCATCATCCTTCTGGTCCTGTGCCAGCTGTGGTCTCCCTGCTCGGTGCCATGCCTGGAGCAGGCAGGTCAGCCTGTCCAGTGGGGCCTCTTCCCCCTCCTCCAGCTGCCCTGGACACAGGGAATGTCCACATCACACAGTCACAGAATCACAGACTGGGTCAGCTTGGAAGGGACCACAGTGCCCCCACCTCCCTGCTCGAGCAGGGCCACCCCAGAGCACATGGGACACAGCATTGCCTCCAGATGGTTCTGGAACATCTCCTTAAGGGAGATTTCACACCCTCTCTCTGCACGTTCTGTTCCAGTGCATGGTCACTGCACAGGAAAGAAGTTCTTCCTCATGTTCAGGTGGAACTTCTGAGCATCAGTGTCTGCCCATTGCCTCTTGTCCTATTGCCTGGCACCACCAAAAACCTGGCTCCATCCTCTTGGCACCCCCTTCAGATACATTCTGACCCCCATTCTGGTCCCCTCCCAATGTTCTCTTCTAGTGGAAAAAATAAAATAAAATAAAAAAATAGATCTCAACTGTCATTTAAACAGAGCTAAGAAACAAGACATTTTAGTTCAGGTCCTGTAGGAGAAGACTGATGGATGGAGAGGGCATGAACATGAGATCATTCTATTATAATAAGTGTTTATTATTGTTATTTGGGCATTGAGGACTGCTGATCATGATTCTTTTTTGTGCTTTCTGGTGTGTGTTCTGTTGGGCACCTTTCCCGCAGTGAGATGTGCTGTGCCTGGATGGCTCTGGGCTGTTCCCACAGGTGGCCTCTCCATCATGGAAATCATGCTGGGATTTCCCCTGACACCGATTCCGAGAGGAGAGGGTGACACTCCGCTGCCAGCTCAGGGCACAGGGGAAGCGGTGAAAAAGGGAACCTTCCTCCAGCCTGGGGGCTGCAAACTCCGTTCTTTGCCAATCCCTTCCGTTCTTTGGCCACAGCAATCCCGTGTAGCAATACAGGCTGGGAACACAGTGGCTGGAAAGCCAGCTGGAAAAGGAGTGTGGGACTACAGCTGGCTGAACGTGGGCCAGGAAGGCCAGGGGTGTCCTGGCCAGGATCAGGAGCAGGGCAGTGACTGTGCCCCTGCACTCGGTGAGGCCTCGCCTCCACTGCTGTGTCCAGTCCTGGGCCCTTCTGTCACTGCTGGACCCAAAATAAGTCACACAGATGCAGCTCAGGATATGGTGAAGGAAGAAAGAGCACTTAATTTCTTCTCTCACAATGTATAGGTTTCTGACCACAGCCAGGGATTGGATAGCCAACCACACTGGTGAGAGATGTCCATCAAAGACATGTAACAGAAGGAACGTACATATATCTGTTTACAGTTACTGTCCTGGGAATGTCTTTAGAAACTATGTCAACAAGCTCCAAAAGCTGAGTTTTCAGGGCGACACCCTTCAGTTCAGGAAGAACTTTTTGGCGCTGGAATGAGTCCAGATGAGTACAACAAAACTGGTGAAGGGCCTGGAACACATTTTACACGGCGTAGCTGAGGGAGCTGGGGGTGTTTATCCTGGAGTAAAGGAGGCTCAAGGGGAGACCTTATGGCTCTTCACAGCCCCCTGACAGGAGGGTGCAGCCAGGTGTGCTCTTCTCCAGGCAACAGCGACAATGAGAGCATACAGTCTTAATGAGCGGCCGAGTCACCGTCCCTGGAGGTGTAGGGAACAGGACACGGCCCTCAGTGCCCCGGTCTAGGGAACAGGACACGGCCCTCAGTGCCCCGGTCTAGCTAACAAGGTGGCGTCCGGCCACAGGTTGGACCCGGTATCTCAGGACTCTTTCCCCACCGATTTCCCGAACCCATTCCCGGGAGGGAGGGAGGGATGGATGGATGGGGACGGTCGCTGTCCCCGCTCCGCTCTCGGCGCGGCTGCGCGGCCGCGGCGCCGCCTCTCCGTGAGGGGCCGGGCCGGGCCGGGCCCGCCGCGCGTCCTTCCGGGCCGGGCGCGCAGCCGCGGCGGCGCTTCCCGCATTGGCGGCGGCGGCCTCGTGCGATGGTGACGCCGTAGGGCCGGAGGAGGCGGCGGCCGGGCCGGGCGGGCGGCGGCGGCAGCGGCGGCCGCGGGACGGGGGCGGCGGCAGCACCTCCGCCGGCCGTTGCCAGGTGAGCGAGCCCCGGGTGAGCCGCGGAGCCCGCTCCGCTCCGCGGGGGCTGCGCGGCCCGGCCGCTGCCGCGGGGCCGGGGGTGCCCGGCCGGGCGTGCGGCCGCTGCTCGGGGCGGCGGGAGGAGCCGCGGCGGGGGCCCGGGCGGGGCGGGGCGGGGGAGGCGGGCGGAGGGCCGGGCCGGGCCGGGCCGGGCCCTGCGGCGAGCGGAGCCTGCGGGCAGCGAGCGGCTCCGGGGCACGGCGGAGCCCGGAGAATCGCCGCCGCAGGAGGAGGCTTTAGGCCGGTGCAGCGCTCTAAGTGGGTCAAGAGCACCGTAAGTGGGTCTTGTTTATAGCCTTCCGCGCACTTGTTGCTTGTCAGGGCAGGGAAATCTGCTGCTGCGCCTGAAATCTCCTTACGGAGGCAATGTAAATAATAATTCCTCCGCTTGCACAATATGGGAACCCTTTCTGCCGGCTGAGTGTTTGGAAGTGCACGTATCTGTAAACACTGGGGTTACCAACAGTAGATAATGTGTTACAAATATTAGGGTAACCACGGTTTGGATATTCTCAAGTGGCACCAGAAGAAACTTTTAAAAAAAGTTTTCTGATTTTTTTCTGTTTAGTTTTTGTTTTGTTGTTTTTTTTCCTTGAGAGAATCAGGTATTCATCTCTTGTTTGCTTGGGATGAACAACAAAGAGTTTGAAACATATGGTAATCGCCTGGAAGACAAAGAAGAGATGACAGCTGTTGTTCTTTGCTGGGGTTTTCAGGCAATGTTAGTTTCTTCTTGTGTTTGTCTTAGCCTTGCAAGTCACTTGATTTTGTGGCTTCAGGAGATGTGTGGGCATTTGTTTTGAGAAAACCATTAATATTAAATTATAACTTTTTTTTTAATGTTTTTGTCATACGGGCTTTGCCACTTTGTGTATGTAAACTGTCATGCACTTGTCACACAGCAGAAGAGCTTTTAGATGTTACCCCTCGTTTAAAGAAACTTTGTGTTCTTCATGCAGCATTGAAGTTTTTCAGGCAGCTGAATTGCCTTGTGTATCACAACCATGTTGTGTATTTTAAAAAATGGATCAAATTGTATAAAACTGGCCAAGCCCTCTGGACAAACCCTTCTTGGCATAATCTGGTTTCAAGAGTTGATATTTTAGAGTGTAATTTAAACTCTTGTTTTCACTCCCTTGCTGTAGTCAGTGTCAGGGAGTATTGAATTTCTGGCTCCATCTTGGCTCTGGTCTTCACAGGTCTGTTTTGGAAGTCAGTGAAGAGCTGTGTGCTGCCCAGCAGTCTCAGAATTTTTATAAAAATTCTCAGATTTCAGAGACCTTTTTGTAGTATTTCAGTGTGGACGTGCTTGTTTGCTGCAGAACCTTACTGAGACTACTTCAGATTTGTGGTAGCTGCTATAACAGAGGAAAATATGTTTGTAATCAACAAAATAGATGTTGTGTCATGGACTTATGGGTGCAGCACAATCATGAAACATGGCCAGTTTTTCTTGTTATCTTTGGCTGTGACCTAGCCTTGTTTATAGGAAAAAGGAAGTTTGTGTTTTGAGTTAGTTTTTTTCTTTTCCTGTAGGGTTGCCAGCCCGTTGCAGTGAAGAAGATTTCTTGCTGTGGTTCTTGAATTATAGGGATAGCTTATTAATAATGTGTGAACTTCATCTGTTCTGTGGCACTTAAGCCTATGTGAAGACTGTAAGCCTAAAAGAAGGTGATTGTTGTGTTGGAAGTATAAGATTAGTTGATAAAATACAGAAATTATTCCCTTGTCTGAGCTGACAACGAAATATAGTTGTGAATAAAGTTGTTGGTAGCTTTGCTGTGAAAGCCATGGAGGACAGTTGCTAATGTGGAAAACTGAATCAGAATAAGTGATGGGGGAGCTAAAAGCTGCATCCCAACCCAGGCCAGGTTTTTGAAATGATGCTTTCTGAGCATAAATCAGATATGAAAACATAATGTGGTGTGAAGGACAAGAGTGTGCTTTTGGCATATTTCTTCAAGCAAAACCTTTCATGGTGAAAACCTCTCCAACGAATTCTTATATATTAAATGTATATTCTCAAATATAGATTTAAAATGCCATGGGTGTAGGAGCTGAAATTGTCTTAAAGAGACAAGAGAGCCAGAACCATGGGGCTTTCCATCACCAGTTTTTGCCCTAATGGAGTTGGATCAGTGCTGTTGAGCTGGTGACATTGCTGTGAATTTGGCAAGTGGCTAGTGACCAGTGGTTTTGGCAACGTGGGTGAGATTCAGACTGCAAACCTGACTCCTAGGCACAGGATTAGAAGGCTGGGCATGGGAAAGCCTGTGCTTGCTCTAGGCAAGCGTTTCTGTAGAGCTGTGATGAAGGAAAATTAATGGGAATTGGCGGGGCATGTAATGCCAGTGATTTTAATGCTTGGATCTCTGCTGTTATCTCATGTCTTCAGTTGCATGTTCAAGGAGCTGTGTCAAGCATTCATGTATGAAAGATACTCAGTATTAGGCACTAAAAACTTTTGCAAGTTGTACAGGTTTTGGATTGCATAACCATATTGTCCAAGCCACTGTGCAAAGCAACAAGGCTTGCTTTCGTCAGTGGACATGGTATTTGTGCATGAGGAAAATCTTGATAAGGACACTTCAGGAGGTTGTTGGATTATTATGCCATCAGCAATTCAAATCCTTGAACAGAAGTAGTTCAGAAATGGAAATAGCAGTTTTGAGTATTTATGATTTGAAAGTGTCTGTCTGAGTCATTCAGTGAATTTTCTGACAGACGGTGTTGGTAGATTTGAAAAGACGTTACACAAGATAATGGTGATGATGAAAAAGTATTTGGGACAGTGTTTAAGGGGAGGGCTGTTATTTTAAACTATTGTTTTCTGATAAAACTTGTTTTAAATGCCTTGTCTTTTTACAAGACATATTTCAGCTGGTTGTGCTTAATGTGGTGGCTGTCTGCCTCTGCTTTTTAAAGCACTCTGGTCGAGACAAGTTGAACAAAGAAACTGGTTTTCAAAAATTAAAGATACAGAAACAAATTAGATGCTAGTTTTGATTCTTCAGGAAACTAATTTCTGAAAACATTTTTAACTTTCATTTGTTTATTTGAACATTGTCCTACCACTGGAACATTTGACTTTAGAAGCAGGATGCTGCAGATCAATGTGTAAGCTAATAAGAAGCGGGAGGTGAGTTGTTTTTACATAGTTCTTGTTACAGAGCTTTGAAGAGAACAGCTTCCTGCCTTCTGAGTGAGATGCAGACTTTTACCATCATGTAACCATAAAATTGAACTTGCCCAGTGATGACATTTATTTTCTGGAAAGTTTGTCTCAATGGTTTGATATAAAAATACAATTTTAGTGCAGTTTGAGGATGAACCTCAAGGTTCCCTTTCAGGACAGGGTGAGAGGCTTTCTGTTTCCAGAGGGCTGCTCAGCACGTTGGGATGTGGCAGCTGATGTGCTGATAAGCAGGCAGCCTCTCTCAGGAAAGGAGGTGCCACACAGCTTATGCTGCTGCTACTTGATTTGAGAAATAGCAAAGAACTTGAAGAGAGTTGGCAAAATGAAGGTGTTCAGAAATAGGAGAAGCAAATACTATACGTCTAAATAGCATTTTGCTTTCTGATTCTCATGTATTCTGGAGCTGCAGGTTTCTGCTGCTCTGTTGGTGGAGGAGAGGGGCTCTTTTTCTGACCAGGCAGGATTCTTTGGACTTCTGTGATCTGCACGTGTGTCAGTGATTTTGGGACATCTCAGGGCTGTCCTGTGGTTCAGTTGACTGCAGAAAGGGGTCTTCAAAGGTATAGCTGGAGGTAAATTTCACAGGACGTGTAATTGTTAGTGTAGAAAAATCTGCTGTGTGGTTCAGATGGGTTTCAATAGCTGTGAAAATGCAATGGAGTCTGCTGGGATGTGCCAGCTGCTGTAGAGCTCTGTGAACAGGACTAATTAAGCCCTTGTGAGAACAGAAAATAGTCAGGCACTATTTACAGGGGGAAAGTGTTGGAACAGGCAGAGCTGTAATCGTTGGCTCTGAGGTACCTTTAGACAGCAGTAGGCAAGAGAGCAGACAATTTACTCGCAGAATGGGCTGAAAGTCATGTCTGAGTACTCAAAGTGGGTATTTCAGTGTTCTGCCAGCACATTTAAGTGCATTGCAAACCTGCTACAGGAAAGGCTACTTCCTTTTTTTTTATTTTTTCTTTTTTTTTTTTTTCCCTGTTTATTCTCCTCTTTCTGCACGTATTTTATCTCAAAATACTGAATGTTCCTGTTTCTCACCTAATGGTGAAAAACAAACGTACAACAGATATAGATGTCATAAAGTTAAAATGTTGCCTGCATTTGAATAGACCCTGTAAGAGGCTTGCTGTCTGCCAGAGTGGTTTGTTGTTGTGGAATGGTTGTTTTTCTAAGGGTATCTGTGATCAGCTGCATGTATTCAAAGATTAGGTGTCACTAGGCTGCTCTAGCACAAGTAAACCAAAGCCATTTCTCATATCTGTTCATATAGTTTTCCTCCTTAACCAAATTAAATGCTGTTTTCCCCCACCATGTTGGTTCCATCTACTTACAGGATTGCAGAGACTGCCATTCTTTGTGTGAAGCCAAGGACAATTGTGCTGCTCTGTTTTGGTCTAGAGGATGATAATTTATGAGCTGTGGAATTTTTTAGATCACTGGATGTGTTAACCAGCTCTACACCTTCTTGATAAGGGTCATTTTGCTAGTAGGAGCCTTTAGTGGGCTTTTCTCTGTTTTAATGACAGCATTCTGGCAAGGTTCCTGTTTTAGCTCCTTACTGATGGATGTTTTTTACTTGTCAAGTTTGATTTTTCTCAAAATATTGTCATAAGTGTGTGTTAATAAATAGGATGTTTATGGATATTTGAATAACAGGCTGTTCCTGGAGCCATGGGCCTTCCTGCTGTATGAAATACTTTCTTCATGTAATTCTGTAGACTTCATTAAAGGCACTTAGTCTTGTGCTCCTTTGATTTCTT